AATGAATGAGGTGTATGGAGGAGGGGCATGCCTGTAGCCCTGGCTTGGGCGATGCAAAGTCATTACTTGTAACCAAAATGTTTGCACCCCCATAATATACTGAAAAATAAGAGAAGAAAATATTATATACCAAAAAGCTGATGAAATTTCAAAGTATAATATTTCTGTGATTATTGTTTTTAATGGAAATAATTATAAACATTAATAATACTTCTACAGTACTTTTGAAAGTTTTTGTTTGTTTGTTTGTTGTTCTGTTTTTATGGATGGGAAATCAGTTCTCTAGGAGAGAGGCTGTTGGTTTATTATTTACTGATCAAATACTTATAAAAATTTCTCAAATTTCCAGAGAAAAATAGATTTCTATTATAATATTCTTGTAAAATGATAGAATTTTCAGCATTACATATATATTTCCATTTCAAAGTCTAGCATTGTAGAAAATGATAATTTTCTCTTTATACTATGTACACAATTTGGGCAAATTAGCATGAATAAGTGATTGGTATAATAAGGGAGATTTTTTTCTTCATTAAAATGACCAATATAATGCATTAATTTACTTTTAAATATCAACAGATAGATCCTTAGAAGTGGCTGATATTCAAAGAACATCAAATATTAATATCTACCTAGGTTAATATACTTGTGGGGATAACTTTTGGTTGCATCTCATTTATGATGTATCCAGTACCAAATAGCATAAGCAATTATACATTTTTTCTTAACTTGCAACTTTATATTCTTACTCAGATTCAGTTAAAAGGCAACTGTAAACTATGAGAATAAATGTCATTTCTTCCTACTGAAAATGTAACACACAGTATTCATTTACTAGAGCTATGATACTATTAATAAAGTACTACAAACTGGATGGCTTAAACAACAGAAATGTATTGTCTCATAGTTCCAAAAGCCAGAAATATGAGATCAATGTGTCACCAAAGTTTTTTCCCTCTGAACAAACTAAGCAGGTTTGTTCAGAGGGAACAAAGTCTATTCTATGGCTCACTCATAGCATCTGGCAGTTTGCTGGCAATCTTTAGTGTTCTTTGGCTTATAGATGTATTAATCTGACCTGTGTATTCATTGTCACATAGAGTTCTCCCTGTGTGTGTGTATCTTTTTTCCAAATTTTCCATTTTTATAAGAATATCAGGGAGGGGTCCACACTACTCCAGTATGATCTTTTCTTAACTAACTACATTTAGTTATAACACTATTCCCAAACAAGTTCATAGTCTGAGGATTAAGACTTCAACATATAAATTTTGTGGGATGCAATTCAACCCATGACATATACCTCGATGAGTTTTATTATATTAATATATTCTTCATTTATTCATTGTCTTAGTTCATTTTTGCTACTATACCAAAATTCTATAGATTGGGTAGCTTAAACATTTATTTCTCACAGTTCTGGAGTACAAGATGTCCAAGATCAAGGTGCAAGCAGATTTCATGTCTGCTGAGGGCCTGCTTCCTGTTTCATAGAAGACCATTTTCTTGCTGTGTCCTCATATGGCAGAAGGGGTGAGAAAACTCTATGGTGCCTCCTTTATAAAGGTACTAATCCCATTTGTAAGGGTTCTCCCTTCATGGGGTATTTGCAAAGACCCCACTCCCAAAAATTCACAGTGGGGGTTAGGATGTCAACATATGAATTAGGGGGGAACATGAACATTACTGAAAAGGATTTATTTCTAATGTAAAGAACTACTGAAAGTACCAATGAGTCTTATAATTTTTCCATCTAGATTTCAAATAAATAAGAAACTAAGCTAAGAATATATTTTCCTTTCAGCCTGAAACTCTCTTTGCAATCCTCCTTAGTAAAACACCTCTAAACAATTGGGCAAGAAATTTATTTTCCATTCCTGCTATTTATCTCCACTCCTGCTGTATTCTACAGCAGGTTGGCTTTTAGTTGGGCTCTGTTGTTCATATATGTTCCCTTCAGCCAGAAATCTGTGTACTCACAGTGTTATCTTCATGCCTTTGGGTGCAACCAAAGCACAGTACAGTAGGTAATTTGCTGTTCTTTGCTTCACATGCAAAAAGGAGTATCCAATACCTGTGGAGACATACTACACAGAGATGAATACATCTGTTCATGACCATATTTTTGAAACAGATTAGAGAGTTATTACATTTTCTTTTTCTCTGCTTTACTCACTTCCTTCTGCTACTTTAAATCATCACTTAGTTAATACCATCACACTACCCTTCTTCTTCTTTTTAGTTGTTTTCTTGTTGTTCCTTATTTCATGTATCACTGCCTTCATGTGTCCCAGCTCTCTCTTAACAAGGCTGGGCTTTCATAGAAAGTTCAAGCTAAATGGAGCAACTCTTTTTCTTTCATGTGGTCCTTCAATCTATCCCAGCAAATGAGGTGTGATCTTGCACAGTTTGTCTTTCTCAGCTTTTTTCCATGGCATGTTTGCCCAGGGACTACTCTTCAGATATTAAAAAAGCATTTAGGCTTAAATCACTATTTGAGGGCCAAAACTAGTTTCAAAACCTGAAGATTTCATAAGCCTGGTTTCTTAATGGCCATTATTTTCTTGTTTTCTATATTGCTTTCTCTTTCCTGAATCCCAGTAATTCATATATGCCTAGAACTATTATCATCCTTTTTCTATCAGTAAATATTTGACTGATTTAATTTTATAACATTTTAACCACATTATGAGTTTGTTACATACTGACCTGGGTACCTAACTGCAGATTTTATTTCATTTTATTTTTTCAGTAAGGTGCCAATGAAAATGCCTTTAAAACAAATGTTTATGTGTAAATGACTACCTAGTGGCATTCTTTAAACAAGTTGAAGGCACGGATATTGTTTATTGGTCAAGTGTTGTGCCATCACATAAAAAGTCCTTAATATACTAAAATTATAATAATTATACTTAATAGTGGTAGAGATAGTTTATATGTGACTAGCCCTGGAAAGTTCATAGTGAAAATTGATTTAATCAACCCAGAAAATTTAGTGCTATATTGAAAAACTCATGTTATACACAGACCAAATAAAGCTCTCTAGGAATAGACCAGCTATGAGGCAAGAACACATCTTTGTTTGTTTTTAAGACTTATAATTTTGAGATCATTGTAGATTCACATGTAGTTGTGAGAAAAATATGAAGAGATTTCTTGTTTTCTTCACAGACTTTTTGAAATGGTAACATCATGCAAAACTATGAAACAATATCCTAACCAGGTTTTTGAAATGGTACAGTCTACCAATCATATTTAGATTACCCTAGTTTTACTAGTATAAATTTGCAGGTATGTATGAGTGTGATTAGTTTTATACAATATGTCACCTGTTTATATTTACATATTCATCACTGTAATTAAAATACTGAGCAGTTCATAAGGGTCCCTCACATTTCCCTTTTATAACTAAACCCTCCTCTCTCCAGTTCCTCCTCCAAACCTCTGGCAACTTCTAGTCTGTTATCATTGCTAAATTGTATAATTGCAAAAATGTTATATATATGGAATCATAGTATAAAACATTTTGGGATTGGCTTTTTTTCCTATTTAGTTTGATTTTCTGAAGATTCATCCAAGTTGTTTTATGTATCAATAGTCTGTTCATTTTCATTGTTGAGTGATATTTAATATTACCAATGTACCATAGTTTTTTAACAATTATATATTTTCTTAGAGTCTCAATGTAAAAATACTATTTAGGTGCCAGAATCATAGTATGTTTTTAAAAGTCATATACATTTATGTTCTACTAATAAGGATTTTTAGGTGACTTTGGCATATTAATTCTGTTACATTTTCTGGGATACCTTGAAGAAATAAAGCAAGCTTTTCTGAAACCTGTGTCTAAATTTCAATATGCAAGTATAAATTTTGTTGTTGAACAATTAGATTCCAAATCATTGAAATAATTACTAAAATTAAAAAACGGATGATTGTCAGTACTTCCAAATTAAAATGCCAAAAGGAACACAAACTTTAATACATTTTCATTTGACTGTGACAGTATTTTTGCTTCATAGATAATTCAAATTAGTAAGTAGAATATTTCTAGATATATAGAATAAAATACCAAGTATGCAGTGTTAGATGATTCATCAAGTATATTTTTAAGTAAATAAATGAGAGTTCTTACCCACTAATTGTACAATGAACTTGTGTGGCTCTTCATATATGTTTGTCATGTTACACCTAGATTAGTTTTCATTTAGGAATAATTGAAACATGACATAGATATATGCAACTGGTTTTTAAATTCTAGGCATAAGAAATCAACATAATACATTCACTAATCTTAGTACCTCAAAATATACATTTTAAAGTTTATAATTTACTTGAAAAATTTATTTTAATCTTCAAAAATCCAGTGCAATAGGCATATTATGATACTTATTTTAGAAATATAGTTATGTTGGTACTGTATAGAAGACAGGAAAGGAATGAGCTTTGAACCTAGGGGACCAGTAATGAAACATTAATATTCTAGGTAAGAAATAAAAAGGATGTGAATAACAGAAAATGACTTGAATGGGCTATTTTGATGCCATTGATAATGTAATGTCAATACACCCACCTTTCTACGTTAATCACAAACCATTCCACCTCCAGTCTTCTGAATAGTTATAAAGCATGCATTATATACCTTCACCATACTTTTGATCTAAGTGCATGCTTAATGGCAGTTTGATTTATGAGTGACAGTCCAACCAAATGTGGTTATGTGAAGGTCAGAAGAGACCCTTCACAATGTTATCAGCACATATAAAACCATATTAAAAGACTTGAGACCAAATATTCTGTTTGGGACTCTCTTTTAGTACAGTTGATGGCAGGAAAAGAAAGCAAAGACTGTGTTTTATGCATAAATTTAAGAATTAAATTTAGTAGGACACAACCATTATAGTTCTCTATCGATATATCAGCATACCTATTTTCTGTGTTCAAATTAATCATGTGATAAATGCCATCACACACTAAAATTTGTTTTCCTGAATGCACAGGTACCTCTGTTCTACAGGTGACAGCTACTGATGCAGATGATCCTACCTATGGAAACAGCGCCCGGGTGGTTTACAGTATTCTCCAGGGACAACCTTACTTCTCTGTAGATCCTAAAACAGGTTAGTATGTTTACATATAATTTGTGTGCAAGTGTTTGCTATAATATAATGAAAGAAAGCAATGGTTTTTATTTATGTGTACTCCATGTTCATCATATATTGTTATTTTAACACATTTTAAAATGTCCTCAATTTTTCTACAACAATATGATTGAATAATTAAAGATAAATTAAGTGCTTTTCTTATTATTTTGATTATCCATTATTTATACCCATAATAGAAAAAAGCTGCTTTCAATAATCCTATAAAATTTAAATAAACCCTTTCTGTTTCCAAAAATATGGAGTATTACACACATTAGATGATATTTTCAAATATATCATTTTCTATGTTTTCATATTATTTTTAATTCTTTGCCAAAGAAGGTAAATGATTCATTGGAATTTTTCCATATGTTATTTGATTTTCGTTACAACATAAATTATTAGCTATACACACACACACACAAATGTATTACATTGGGGAAATTGCTCTGTCTTGAATAAGCATTTTTTACTGATGAACAAACTCTTCAGCCCTCAAATATTGTGTTATGTAAAAAATATTAACTGAGCGTAACATCAAAGACATGTACATTTTTTAGGAAACGTATGAATTCTTATTTTCTTCATTTTTTCTGGCCAAAACAATCATATCATATTATATCATTATATCATATCATGACAAAATGGAAATGAAGATTACTCAATAATGCATTATAGAGTTTTTTACAGTAGCATAATCCCCAAACCACAAAAGGTACATCCCATTGACAATCAATTTGTTACTAAAAACCAGGTTAAATATGAAACCATTTTTAATTTAGAAAACTGTTCAGTAACAAATCAGTGTAAAATTTCAAGGATATACATAATTTGAGACAGATGAAGCCGGAAGAGATATAGAATGTTTCAGCAGGTCTGTAGATCCTTTCTGACCGCATTAGATATACTCTAAATCAAATTAACATATGGGATCTTCAAGTAAACAGCATAGCCATATAACTAACATAAGAGATAGCCATGTTTGATCATAAATACCTCTTTATACCCTTATAATAACATAGCATACAGCTCAGTTTTCAAAGAACTCTGTTCCATAAGTCTACAGATTATAGATTTATTCACCATTGTCTTAGACAATGAGGTACGTCCAACTAAAAAGATGTTGTAGACAAGCACTTTCTCAATAGCTAATACCACTAGATTGTTTGCCAAGAGTTTGGTCTTTATCATGTCTACATGATAATTTGACTAGGTTACTTGCCTTTTTTCTTTCACTGGGATGCTCCAACATGTAAGTATACTGCAAAGAATGTATCTCAGACATACTACTTAACTCTTTCCTTCTTACAACTTAATAAGAAAATGATGAAGAATATGTATAGATACAGATATATAAATGAAGAATATACACATGCATACCCCTATATGCTAGCAGTTTCTGTAGTGCAGTGGTTATCACATTCACCTCATATAACCTTATATGCATTATAGAGTATAATAGACTGTAACATATAGTTTATAAAGTAAAAATAGAAATCGAAAGATAATAAAAATAAATAACAATGTGACTTAAAATGAGTATGAGACATACATTTTTAGTTCCAAGATATTGCTAAATATTTAGAAAAAAATGTTTATTCATCTAGTAATAAAAGTGGTGGGACAAAGATGTACATACATAGAAGTATACATTATTGGTCTGGTAGAGGAGCTTAGAATGAATTGAAAATCAATTTGCTATTTGCTATTGATTTTTCTCATTTTGTTCTATTTTCCCAATAACTATGTTTGTTTCAAATATAAAATAAGTATATATCCCACCTTAAATATACATCACCATAGAGGAAAGAAATAAGGATAGTAAATGTTTCAATTGCTTTGTTTAGGATTATACACACATGCATGCATGCATGCACAGTGCATAAACACACATGCACACAGACATATGACTTTAGTCTATTAATGATCTCTATACCTAGCCAAATGTTTATTTATAAATAAATATTATATCCACTTAGCAGAAGAATATTGCTAAGATATAGATATCCTGTTTATATATTTTTAAATTTTCATATATTTATTATGCATATTAATGGTTAACAAACAAATGTAAATTCTGTGTGTTCATGTATCTGAATATCTGAGTGTTTCCATATGTTTGTGCTAGTGCATACACATGCGTTTGTGTATGCACTCAGGTGGATAAAGCAGGCCACTGAGGGAAACATCCTACTAGTATTGAACTCTACTATAGTTTGTGATTTGGGGGAAGCAAATATGTCAATAAATAAAGTTTGTATTTGATTATACATATTTATTATAGGTTAAGTGAATACTTCATTAGACTATAAATATAAGTTTATCTCAAACATAAATAGGCTGCTATTTAAATACTGCTCTGTGAAATTTTCTTTGCTCATACATTTCTATGCTCCTTTCTTTAAGTGATACGATGTATTGAATGAAATGTATGTCTCCGCTTTGATATGTCTTTATGTCAGTATTATACTGGCCAATACAACATGGGAACCTATTGATATATGTCCTACTATGCCATTAAGGAAAGAAAGCATTTTGAAAGATCTTTTAAATAAGCAAATATCTTAGACAATTAACTGTAGAAAGTGCTAAGAGGGGTTTTAAAATTAAATGCTCATTACTCTTCGAAGCCAACACTATTTTGGCAATTGATACTTAAAATCCCTATTACTACACAAACATCCTCATAACTAATTAATTTAGTTGAAATTGTGTTTAAAAATGGCTAATTAAATACAAACATACTGAAAACTAAAGAATCGGTTCAGATAGGATGTTATATAAGAACTGTGGGAATAGTAGTCATTTATAAAAATATGTTCTAATAACATCAATTCCATTCCCCTAATGGACATGAGCCCATGTCAACATGTTTTCAATTACTTTGATTGAAGACCAATTATAATAAAACATAACATTTGTCACCAAATGGATTTGTGAGTGCTCATGTCTAAGATCAATATTTGGATTGCCTTATTTTCATAAAAGGTAAATTTTGATATCCATAATAATTTTTCAATGATAACCTGCCAAATAAGACCTTGGTTTCCTATTTTATAAACCATCTCTGAATGGCTATATACAAATAAGTAAATTACATGCCTGTTGAGTTATTATATTATGCAGAATTGATTTAATAATGTCTGAATTTTTATATTAAAGTCACATTAATCAGTATGGTAAAATACAAATCTTGTGAATAATTTATTGTTTTTAATAAATTTTGTTGAGGTAATTATTTCATGATTGCTCAATGTATAACAACAGAAGAGGAGTGTACATTAAAAAGTGATGAATTGGAGCGAGACTTTTGACAGAAAAGAAATTAACAGATAAAATAGATGATTTAACATTAACTACCACTTAAAAGCACTGGAGACTATGGAAATGAGCTAAAAGAAATACAATGTATCTGACTACACTGGTGTAAAGAACTTTTTATAGAGGGAGTAAGTGAAGAAAAAATTTTAATAGTTAAGAAAATAGCTAAACTTAAGCAAGGCATTTTGAGGACAGTTGCTGAGCGAGAAAGTCATATTAAGTGGTCAGATAACCAAATGCAAGGGAAATGTGAGTGATGGTTCCTTATTAACACAATTCAAATCTCGATCCTAGTCTGATTAATATATTGTCAACTGTGCTAAAAATAAATCAATATGTTCAAGATTTCAGTGACTATTTAGAAACTATAAAATTTCAGTCAGGTGGCGACCTCAGAAGCTGATTGATCAATTTGCTACACAAAGGAACTAGTCTCCTTAACTTAGATGAAACTCAGAGCCAGAAATCCACCAAGTACAATTTCTGAGCCTTAGGAACAGAATGGAAGTATTGTAGGAAAGGCTGAAATGTAGTTTTTAATTGGACATGAAAATCTGCTAATACTCATTACTCTGATAGACATTTGATTGTATACTCTGCCAAGTGTTTCATAGCCAATAACTTATGAACTACTTCACGTTATTTTTGATAGTGCATATTACTTAAGTTATGCATTGTGTATGTTTCACACAAATATATTGAATTTTCCTGATGGCCAATTCAGGAAACCTGAAAATCTAGATTAAAATTTGATGTCTGGAAAAAGAGAGGGGTATACTGGCTTACAAAATCCTAGTTAAGCTTTCTTTACAATTGTTTACAATGCTGGCAATAGTGAATATCAGGTGTCTTGGTCATGACTAACATGAAACATATAAATCATTGACAGTTAATACTAGCATCCATACATTAGTATAAATAGCATCCATAGTTTATTTTTGCCACACACCAAAAAAAGACAATGGAGCCATTTATTTATTTTAATATTTGTGTATCTATGTTTTAAACTCATGGATCATGTTTCATGCAATGTTTATACATCTTTACTTACTTATGTAAGAATATTTCTTTATTAAATATAGAAGCTGAAATATTTTTACTGATAAATTCTACATTTAATTTTCAGGTACATAAAGATAGCAAGACCAGATTGGCTACTTTTAGTTATAATTATATATAAAGATTATATAACATATTCTTTTATCAGCACTCCTAGTGTATTATAGCACTTTAATGGTTTCTGATACATGACATTACAAAAGGGTAGATGCTGAACTTCAAATTCTTGTCAGTTAAATACTTCTGCACTAAGAACGTCAATCCCACAGGGACAAATAATAGCAAATAAAATGAATTGCACGTAGTGATAGCTATTTGTTGTAAAGGCAGTCATATTATTATTTATTTTGACATGGCATTATTACAAATCTAATAAAGAAATTGTTTACTTGGCCTTTCTATCAAAGGATTAATATGCTATTTAAAATTATAGTTTAATTAATATAAATTAATATGATATAAATATAGTATAATTTGTTTTTTTCTCTAAAATACTGTTTATTGAAAAAGACCTTGGGGATACTTTATCTTCAAATTCTAGATTGCTAGTTTCTTAGCAAATTGATCAAGTTACATGTTTTGCTCCTGTTTCCATG